GTGGCATTTTTATAACATGGCTTTGCCGCATGACATAAGGCCTACAGCTAAGGTTCAGTACTGGATGTGGCCTTGACCTCTGGTGAAACAGGAGGCTGAGTGGATATTCTAACTAACTGTGAGTTTTCTTCCCCATGTGGTTCTTGTTGCTAAGACCCCACCAATCAAATACCCCTCCTGTAACCAAGTCAGGAGCAGTGTTTGCTTTTGTTCCAGACCATGATGGCTTGCAGATTTATTCAAAAGATTGGGTCATACCCACCTGCAGGAAACATCCCAGTCTCCACTAACCCTGCTTCCCAAAGTCCTCAGTCATTCCCTCTCTTCTGAGTACAGCCCCACGGAGTCTGTGAGGTGTGCAGGGTGCTCCTTCTCTGGGAGGAGCTGTGGCAGGTAAGCTGCTGTGATCTGTGATCCTATCCCTCCTGGGTCAGGTGTTGTGCCAGGCCATCCCATAATTCTAGGGCAGGAATTTCTTAACCAGTGCTGTGCAGTAGGAGGTGGTCAGAGACCACAGGAGAGGAAGCCAAACGGAAGGAGTTCCCTAGATGTCTGCTTCTCACACTGAAGTGGAAAGCAATAGCCTGGGATCTTGTTCAAACATTTATTCGGATTCGTAAGTCTGGAGTGGAGGCCTAAGACTGCGGTTTGTAAACAGCATCTGCTCCTCAGACCCCCCCCCCCTCTAGTATCTGGGTCATTGAGTCTGAGGGAGAAGAAATGAACCAGGTATGTAAGATGACCAGGTAGAAGGATCCATTAGCACCTAATCTTCTAAAAGAAGATTTTAGAAGAAAATGCACAGAGAGGGTAAAACGCACACAGAGAGTAAGTAAAAGTGCTTGCTACACAAACCTGAAGACCTGGATTCGAATCCTAAAACCTCGGTGAAAGGAGAGAATTGGCTCCTAAAAGTTGTGTTGTGGCATGTGTCACCAGTACTCACACACGTCAGACACATGTCAGACACACATTCTCTCTCTTTCTAGCAATAAATAAATATTATAAAAATAAAGTCAATGTCTAGAGTGGAGGAGTTGGTTCAGCTGGTAAAGGTGTTTGCCATGCAAGCCTGATGAGTCTACTTTATTTAATCTGCAGAAATCACACTTTCACATGTGTGATACAGCACCCGTGCCCTCCCTATCCATCTCTCTGTCTCTGTCTGTCTGTATGTCTGTCTGTCTGTCTGTCTGTCTCTCTCTCTCTCTCTCTCTCTCTCTCTCTCTCTCTCTCTCACACACACACACACACACACACTAAATAAGTAAGTAAAATTTAGAACAAATGCTTAGAGATAAGACATAACTGGGGGGAAAGACACTTGACTTCCACCCCACTCCAGCCGCACAGAGGAAGTCATCTCCGTAACTCTCACCACGAACCTTCTTGGGACTGAAGAGCCTCACGCGTTTACTTTGGTGTTTTACGACTGCTTGTGGTCAGGTTCTTTGGGAGAACGACTCAGGGTAAGGAGGTGAGAGGATCTGTAGCGAAGTGCTCAGACATCAAGTCAGACACTTATCATTTAGAAGCCAGGGAGAAAGCAGCTGGGGAGAAGGACAGGATGACATCTTTCCTCCAGGAAGCCTGAACTCAGTGAAAATCCAAAGGAGGAGGCCGGAGAGAGTCGGCTCCCAGGAGACAGTGCCTATTGGATTGGCCTTCTGCACAGTAGACCAGCCTTGATGCTAATTTCTCTCGACCTTCTCATGTGATTCTCGTCAGCTGGGCTCTCACTTGCTTTAATTATGGGCATAATGACTCATTATTTTTTATAAAGGAAGCAGCGAAGGAAACAATTATGCAAATGGTGAGGTTTGTTTTCTATGGAGGAGTTGTGGGCTAATTGGGCATCGGTACAAAAACTGGCACTGCCAAGCACAGCGATGCCCCAAGAAGCCCACCAACTGCCACTTAGGTCAAGCACATCACTGCCGGCAAGCTATACCTAAAACACAGCTACATAGATAACACGCCTGAGCAAATCAGCCGCGGGCAAAGTTCTTCCTCACTTGGGTTGAAGGCTTATCTGAGTTAAAGAAGACCAACCTTCTTTTCCACACACATCACCCTTTTGGTTTGTCTTGGTTTGTTTCCAAATGGAAAAGTTGTGTGTTTGAACTCGGCCTTCTTTCCTAGGGAGTTCTCTTTGGAGTGTATCATCCATCTGTTCGTTTGTTTGCGTGTCCTGTTCTAATTCCAGCTAATGAAATCTTCACCTACCAGCCTACATGTGAATTGGCACCTTCTTGCCTTAGCCAATGCCACCTCTGCTGAATCGGGGCATGTACAGGTGGCCTTTTGTCTTCAGAGAGTCTAAGATTTGTTGGTCTTTGGCCCACAGTGTATCTTACTTCCATCACTTTGTTAGGTCAACTCTCATCGTGAATCATAAGACCAGGGCAGGACTAGAAGCCATGCATTTCCACAGTACCCTGCTTGCTAATGCTCCTGAGGCATTTACATCTGAAATTAAATTGCTATTATAAAATGAACCGAACCACTTTGGTCCTTTGTAATTATATTTAGCCCAGAACTCACCATCAGGAGGGGCATTATACTGAAGGCAAAGTTCACTTCTGTGTAACAGATACCACCAAATAATCACAAACTGTCCTAAGGCCTGTATTGTTACTTCTGTGACTTTCTGTCTTTGTATGCACCAAGTAAAGCTATTAATTACAGGACTCAGTGGAGGCAGATACATACATATCTTGGCAGTGGGATTCAGCTAAACTTCTAAGCAGGATCAAGCTAGGATATCCATTCAGAAGAAATGTTAAGACTAAAGCATGCATCCAAAGGGTATGAAGCTATTAGACTTTCTGACTCCCATGTTTATTTAGGGAAGGACAGATATGTCTATATGTCTATACTTTTGGATATTCCATTCAAATATGAGATCATTTATTTGGCCAAAGAAAAATCATCTATAGCATCCACTACACTAATTACCAGCGTTGTTGTTGGTCTGATATGAAGGCAATGATGGGTGTAGAGTAGCTGCCTGTGGAGCGCTTTGATTAGCTTTAAAACGTAACTAACGACCTCACAGAACATATTGCCTTTCTCTGATTATGGTAATTCACCTATTAACCTCACCTCCAGGGTACAAATTAAGATACCCACCCAAACATCTCACATTATATATAGTCATTTGAAATAAATTGCTGATAATATAGTAGTCATTAAAATTAAAATTGCAGATTAATGTCTGCCTAGCTTCTTGGAATGTTAGCTGCACGAGGATGAGAAAGAGAATCACAATATCTCTGAGTAATACCTTTGTATAGAATCAAAGCTACAACATATGACTGGAAAACAGTTTTATAATATCTCCACAATCTGTATAGAGTTCAAACTACAGCATGTGACCGGAAAATAGTTTTGGTTGCATGAATGTTGTCTGTCGTCTTTCCCCTTCGTCCTAATCCAGCTTTGACTTCTCAGTTTTGCTATCGTTTCCCCTTCCTCTTCTTATTGATTCAGTCCTGTGATCTGGATATTGAAAGCCTGTCAAAGGTTACTGCCACCATTGGAAGAGGGTGGAACTTTTGAGAAGTGGGACCTTGTCGGAGCTCCTTTGGGTTTTGGACACTAGCTCCTAACTCTTACTGTTCCTTTTGTTTCCTGTCCATGAGGTGGTCAGTTCTATTCTGCCATGTATCATGATGCCCTGTTGCCCAACAGGCCCCCAAATAATATACCCATCCATCATAGCTAATCTCCAAAACTATGAACTAAAGTAACCCCGTTCTTTGTTTGATTATCTCAGGTCTGCTTTATTGCAGCAATAGAAACTGACTTTGAGTCATAAGCTCATACATTACGATGTTGAAGAGCGAGGATGCCTATAAACTGGCTTCATTTAGATTTACTCACTTGGGAGTTTTATACTTTCTTTGCTTCCTAGTCTCTGAAAGAAGGCTAGCAGCTGTGCTTACCTTGTGCGGTCATGAGAATTTGTGGAGCGTCACTAACTTCTGCTCTTTCCTGCTTCTAATGTGGCCTAGACTGACCTCATTGTTTGATGAATTTCCTTAGCCATTACACCAACTATTTCCTTTCCTACTGGTCTTGCAACTGCACCCGTGTGGCAGCCTCTCTGCTGGGTGTGCGTATGTGCACCAAGTGGGTGGGTAGGGACAGCTGCTGAAGAGAAATGCTTTGCAGCACTCAGACTTTCTCGTTGACCCAGATTCTCTTAGGTATGTTGGGTCATCTCTTTCAGATTTGTCTTCCTAGCTGAAAGCAGGGATTGCGATACTAACCTTACATTGATATCATGAAGATAAAAGAAATGATAGCATAATTAATAAAGTTAGGATATATATGGGGAAAGTACTTGGTCTAATGCTGGAATGAGATGACCCTTTAAGATTTTCTTCACTTTTTAAAGACTTACATTTGTTTTTAGTTGTGTGTGCTCATGTATATTTGTGTACGGGTTTGTTGCAAGAATTAAGCCTGGTGTATCATGAGATGCTGGCGAAGCAAAGGGTCAGTTGAGCCCTATTGATCTGAAAGCTGGCCAGCCACCCCAGTGAGAACAAAAGGAGAGCTGGGAGGGAGGTCAATAGAAACTGTGGCCTGCTTGGATTCCCAGCCGCTCATCCATCCACAGAGCTGGGATCTCCGCTGAGCAGTACCAGTAACTCTGCTTGGATTCCCAGCCACACATCCATCCACAGAGCTGGGATCTCCGCTGAGCAGTACCAGGAACTCTGCTTGGATTCCCAGTTGCGCATCCATTGCAGACCTGGGATCTCTGCTGAGCAGTACCAGGAACACTCGGGAAGGCGAGCATGGCCTTGAGTAGCCCTGAGTGGCGATGTGGATTCTGCCGGCCCTGCACCTGCCCTGCTATCCAAGCAGTGCCTGTCAGCGGAAGATGGCTGCTGCTTTATCTCAATCTTCCAGGCACATCCCATTTTTGAAATATTTTAATTTTTGAAAATAACATATAATTCTATCCTTTCCTCCTTCCTTTTCTTCAGTTCCTCCCGTGGATCAGAGACTGAAACTGAGGCCTGAGACACGGAGACCGCTGCAAGGAGCTGTGCCCCGCGTGGTCCAAGTGTGGGAAAGGACATGAGCTGTGCCCCGCGTGGTCCAGGTGTGGGAAGGGCTTTCTGCCCACCACTCGATTGCTCAAGAATTGGGAGTCAAGGTTAACAATGGATCAGCGGAACCTTATACAATTAAAAGAAAAACAATCACATGAAGAAGAAGCCCACAGATAGGAGAGAATCTCTGACTAATACATCTGGCGAGGATTGATATCCCCAAAGTATAAAGAACTAAAAAAAAATATCAAAAACACCAAAACAAACAAACAACCCTCCCCAAACCAACCCATTCAGAAGACAGGATACACAGACCTGATAGAGTTCTTAAAAGAAGTAAGAAAAGTGGCTGAAAAATCAGTTTCTAGAACCATCAAAAGCTAAAAATAAATCTACCATATGGCCCAGATCTACCCTTCTTGGCATATGCCCAAAGGGCTCGACATCCTACTCCATAGATACTTGTTAAGCCATGTTCATTGTCATAAATTCTGTTTTATTAAATTTTTTCATATGGTATATTTTGTCATAAGAATTCTAGGGAATGTTTATGGATTACCAGATTGATAGGACAGGCAACCATACCAATATTTTCCATCTCATAGTTGACTCCTTTCAGCCTTGGTTTAATCTACTCCCCACCCATAAGAAATGCCAAAGATTAGCTTCTAACTGTGATTTTAAATTTTCAAAGTTATATAAAGCAGTATTCTAAAGGGGTCTTATTCGAAAAGTATTCGAAAGACAATCGCCCATAGAGAAAGGTCTTGTGATAGAGTCAAGTGCCGTTTTCCTAACAAATAGAAAAAGGCACCTTTACGTGATATTTAAATTCATTCTGTGTTTAAATTCAAACACACTGGCACTCGTCACATTCAGGCTGTTCATATTTTATTAATTTGTTGGTTAGATGTCCGGTCCCCTATTCTTATTGTCTATAATAGACAATGGTGTTTCTTGCCCCCTCTCTCCTAAGCATCTTAGGGCACTGAAGTCAGGATCTTTTCAAGTCTGGTTCCTTTCAAGCCTGAGGCACGATCTCTTCAGTGGTCCTGGAGTTCTGTGGTTAAAGATTCAACTAATAAGCCCAACTGCTAAATTATTTAGGAGAAGCTATGTGTGAAGGTTTTGGAATTCTTAAGGCTAAGTCCTTAGCATTTTCTTTATGATACCGACTTCCCTTTCTCAGGGCTTACAGCACAGCCCTGGCAGGGTTTTCCTCCAGGATGTCAGGGTTCACAGCATTGATTGATTATCTTTCTCATCAGACGATGGGGAAGGGCAGCAGCCATGTTCTGGTTCTAGTCTTCAGGAATTTAAACCCTGGTGAGTCTGGGGCGTGGGTGACAATGCTGACCAATAATTTTGGATTCCGGAGAAAAGACAAAAACCCATGGAGCTGTCTCCTCTTGGCAGCCTGCTAAGATTTCATTAGGTCCGGGAAGTGGGCGGCTGTTTGTTTTCAGCAGAGGAGACTCGAGGGAATCGGAACATTTACTCAGTCTTCTGACAGTCCTGGGTCACAGAAACAGAGACGCCTAGTTCTCGCTTTAGCAAGCCGAAATCTCCGACCAGACTAGATGTTGGAGGATGCGGAGAGCAGACAAATGCAGGGGCCTTTGTGATTATGTAAGGGCGAGCTGTTCAGGAGACGAAGATTCTGTATCTCCGCGGAGCCCTGAAAACCTTCAGGTTCAGGAGGTCCGTGACTCAAAGGCATCTGCAGTCACTGACCTGCTTCAGTGCTCTGCGGCAGCTTGCACTCTTTTCCCTATTGAACCGGAGCTGGAGTTTCCATCCACTCAGGCTAGTAGAGCAAGGGTCAATAGACTGATGGCTCATAAATAATTGAAACTTATTTTTCACAGTTCTGGAAAGTTGTGAAGTCTAAGTTCAATGTAAAAGAAATGTAGTTTCTAGTGAGAACCTTCCTCAGAGATAGTGGTCCTGCTCCTGCCAGATCCCCACTGGGATGTTGGCATACAAACACTAATCCAGTTCCTGGGGCTCCATCCCCATGACCTGATCACTTCTCCGACATCTTACTTCTTTGTAAAAAAAAAAAAAATATTCTCTTGACAATTTCATGCATATGTACAATATAAAAAAGGAAACCATTCTGTCAAACTGATTTCACAGATCTTCTTTAGAAGAGAAATTCTGGTTTTGATCCTAACAAACCAAAATGTCCTCAAGGTGTTTGTGTGTTAAAGGACTCTGTGGGTCAGGTGTTTGGCCCATCTCCACTACTGTGCTCAGATCAGCTTTGCACCTCAGAGAGCTCAGTCACTGCTGACGATGGAGCCAGATTTCACCCATGCTACCTAAGGAATGAGCTGGAATTGCAAGATACCTTTAAATACACAGCTATTCCTTCCTTTCCACAGTGCTCAGTATGTCAGAGAGGTCCTTATGGAGGCCCGCCTTCCAGTTTCAGCTGCTAATTCCTCTTCAAAATGACCTTATTCTCTTCCTCTATCTATACATGATAATTTCTTTCCAAATGTATTCTTGCATTTGATTCATACAAAGTTTATGAAAGTACTTTCTGCTTATTTTAGACATGTAGGTATGTATATATGAATGTATGTAAGTATGTGTGAACATGCATGAATGTATGTATATGTTATTTTGGCCCCAGTTTATGGTGTCTATTTTATACTCATTCTTTGTCATAATTCTAGGTAGTTTATAGGCAAGCTTAGCCTCCCTGCATATATACCTTTGGATGCTTCCTTTCTTCACAGTTCTGAGACCTATAGGCTCTCCACTTACTTCACACCTCCAAATACCTACACTGGAGGTAAGGCCACTACAGACTAGTGTATATACAAAGCCTCATACTTTGAACACTTTTCTATAACTCCTTGCTACCATCGTATTTTCTTGGTATCATAATTTATGGTTGGTATTTTTTATTGATTTATTTTTTGGAAATACAATATGGATGCACCATTTTCTCCTTCTCCCTCCAAACTCTCACATAAGCTCCCTATTGCTCTCTTCCAAATTCATGGCCTCGTTTTTATCATTAATTATTGTTACATACCTATATGCTTGTATATTTATTTTAGTCCCCACATGAGATTCCATCAAAATGGTTTCAAGACTTAGCAGAATTGTTGAAAAGCAAAATAACAATGATCAGATAAATATTGTAACTCAGAATACAGGAACAAAATTCCACAGCATAGACCATCAGTACAATGGATATATACTATGAATTATATGAATTGGGATAAATAAATCTTTGAGCTCAATATAACTACACACACACATGCACACACACATGTGCACACACACACACAGATAGCATTAGAAAACATAACAATAAATAATGGAACGTTGAGTGTTACTGGACCAATAACTTAAAATTTCTTTACTTGCTTGTCACCTGCTGTAAAATGTCATCAGCTAGAGGCATGGGACTGTTGTAGCTTTTGCACCTGTTCCTAAATGCAATCGTTTTACAAAGTTCTCACTAACAGCAACTTCAGTTACACAAAAGAGAGACTAACCCTCACATAACCGTAACTGGAATAAGCAATCCATTCATTTATTTCTCTCAAGTCTGGGAGCAGGCAGTCTAGACAGTGTTGGCACAGGGCTTCAAGGTGCTATCAGGACTACAGATTCCTTCTCATTGTGAAACCATCTTAACTTTGTCTTTATAGTTACTTCATAGCAAAGATGGCTGCCGGTGTTGGCTTCCCAGGGATTCCCCATAGACAGAACATTTTTTATCTCATTGAGCAGAACTAAGTCACGTGATGGCCCTCCTGTGACAGGTCACACACAGGCAGTCTTTATCTGAGCATCATAATGTCCTGCTAAAACAGGAATTTCGGAAATAGAGGAGGAAGGAAAAATTGAATAAAGGCAAGTAGTAATTTGTTCCAACATAATCTCCATAGAGAACAAATCCGTCTTCCAAAAGAAAGTAAATGACTATGCTTTCTGTATAGTAGGAGGTTCTGTGGCTCTGCTGGGGAAGTTACCAAAGGGGAAAATAATCCTATGAAGTACTACCTGTGACAAAAAGATATTTATCACAGAAATCAAAATAATCTCATAGAGTTAGCGGTGGATGTCATGTTTAGAGAGAATTGGTTAAATTTCTTCTGAATTGGCTCTCTTATGTGCTTCCCAGCATCAGGGAAGTAGGATATGATGGAGCAGTTATGACCAAAAGCTCAGGATAATAGTAGACAGTGCTTAGAGGAGCTGCAGGACCGCTGTGGCTCAGTTTCGACTGGATTTGGATATGGATCAGGTGACATTTGCTTAAAATTGCTTGATGTCTGCTAAACACTCTTCCTGAAACCTCTTGTCACGGGAAATCTTCATTTGCGTAATGAATGGCTTTGTATGTCGTGATGTAGAGGGAAATAGGTATTAAAGATCTCAATTAAACTTGTGCTGCAGGCGTGAGTTTCAGGCAGTAGAAGAGATCTCACTGGAATATGAAAACTACTCACTGTTTTATTTATACGGAACAGTTGGTGGGCGCACAGTCCACAGGTTTTGATCTGAGAAGAAATAGTGATGGTTGTAAGCAGAGCCAGTGTGACTTAGTGCTTCATGTTCAAGCATTATTTTAAAAACTTGGAAGCGATAAAATCTCCCGGGGCTACATAGGATGCAGTTAGATTGGGGTACCTAGTGGTTGGAACTCTGAAGCATTTTTTCTGGAGTGAAGTGGATGATGTGCAGCTGACCCTTGGTGGCCTCGTGACTTCACTTTAGACAGAGAAGCCAGATTAACCTTGAGCTTCTGACCGACAGAGCTGTGAGGTAATATATGCACATTGTTTCAGGCTGAATTTGGGGTAACTTTTAATGTAATAATAGAAAATCAAGACCACGTGCTGTAGAGGGTAGGTGGCAAACTCTCAGAGAATTCCAGTGCCTTCGGCACAATGCAGCTTTTAGCCTAATGGTCTGAGGCACACTGGAGCATTGTCTCCAAAGTACAAAGGTGACAATACTTTGCACTGCCTATCACCAGAAAGGAGTTCAGCACTTGACAGGGATCTCTGATATACAGAGAGAGTAGATTGCATGCTTGGAAATACTGCTTTAACCCACATGCTGAGTGATGCTAAGACTGTGAACTTCCATGGGCCTGAACAGAAAATGGTCTGTAGGAAGTCGTGCTGTGGGATCTCTTCTACACTAGATTTGGCATCTACCTCAAATGTAGGATGCTTTCTACATTCAGAGTAATGTCAATGCCATCAGCCAAGAGTTCAGAGAGAGTTTGATCTGAAACTCCACACGAAATTGCAATGGAACCAAAGACCAGTTGTAGCAAATCAGGTGCCATAGTAAAGACATCATCATGGTGGCTATTGTTATTTCATAGGCTTCGGTATCCAGCAGCCACTGGACTGGCACAGCCTTCTATATTCTGTTGACGTTTTGGCTGAGGTGCCATCTATA